AGGGCCCCATGAAAGGACCCCATTTCCACTGGCATCAAGATCAACTTTCAGTCTTCATGTTATTAGGATAGTGATAATGCTATTCACAATTGAGTCACTTAAGGTAACCATGATTTCCCCCCTTTCCTCAGCAGCTTGGGGTTAATAACCCCCACCCCCCATTTATTTAGTTAGATTTGTTGCACTTATTATCAGGAGTCCAACTTCTAATTCTTCCCTAATTGTGGAAACCCCCTCCTAAATGTTATCAATGTCATCTTGAATAAATCTTTTCTGGAGTCTTTTGACCAGCTTCCATCTCAACAGGCTGCTTTCTACCCTGACACATAGCTATCTGCTTGGAATTTTCCTTTATTTGGATCTTAGTGATTCCCATCTATTGACTCTTGTGTTAGAGCCTCTGTTTCCTCAATCTTACATCTTATTCTCTAGTTTCCTCCCTTGTTTTGGTGGAGCACATCCTCTAGCAGCTTCCTGAGAGGATAAGGCAGTACCTTTTTCTGGAACTTTGCATGTCATATTTGAAAATATTTAATTCTCTTCTCAGACTTTTTCTTTCAGTAGTTTGGGTAGCAAATCCCAGGCAGAAAGTGATTTTCCTTCAGAAAACATTGTTCTCCTGACTTCCAATTTCCAGGCTTGATGATAACTCTGATGACATTCTGCACCTGTTTTGTTGTTGTTGTTGTTGTTGTTGTTGTTGTTTTTGTGGGGTCGGGGGGGAGGGAAACATTTTATGAAGCCTTTCCTCTTTGAAATCCTGTTGGATCTCCTCTTTGTCCAAGTTTTCTGAAATTTCATGGTGATGTGTAACTCAATTCAATTCTACCAAAAGGGACTGAGAGTATGTGCTGTATGGGTTATCTAAGTAAATGCTCCAGAGTAGCCAGAATACACAAAACTATACCCAAGTCCTTAGAAGCTGGAAATACATGGGAAGTATGGGAGGTAAGGCAAACAGGATTTTGTGAGTATAAACTATTACACATACAAGATCTGAAAGGACAACATTTTTGCAAATTCCAAGTGGCAGTATTTTTAAGGAGGACTAATCCAGGGTCTCAACCTGATTCACTCATTAGCAATATAGCCTTTCCATGTACTCAACAAAGTCCATGACTTCCAAACTACAGCCCCTGTTCAGGTGGTGGTGAGCTACCAATAAGGTTCACATTTTGACTTCCAAGTTCCGCTTTTACTGCCAGGAGTTGTTTTTAGCCTCTAGGCGGAAGACTTGGCATCCTGCAGAAAGCCACAAAAGCTGAGTTCAATGCCAGATGTTCCCTCAACCTCTGGGTTTGAGATTCCCTCAAATTCTTGGGGAGTCAGTTGGAAGAAAACCAGGAACCAGGACCCCTTTTCAGGAAACAATCCCTAAGATGTATTTCTCTTTCCCCTTCAAGGTGTACCTATAGATACTTAGAGATAGAACACATTGATAAATAAATATAACACATGGTAAGCTACTCAATAAACGTTTTTTCAGTGAATACTTAATATTTCTCTCTATGTAATATCTACCCAATATTTATATAGCTGGGGTACCCCTGGTGGGAATCAGCCAAGAGATAGCAGGGCCGTGGTGGTTCTCGGAATGTTACTGAAGAAATGAACACACATTATCTTGTTTAATTCTCACAACAACCCTATGAATCAGGTATTTTTAACCCTCCTTTTATAGATTCAGAAACTGAAGAACAGAGAGGGTAAGCGCCCAAGAGCCCAAAGCTAATACTAGAGTGCAGACCTCAAGTCTTGAGTAAAGGGAATCCAGAGCTCACAAGAAAGCCCACTCACCCCATCAGAAAAGGTAACACCAAATATCGCTCAGATCCCAGGTTAGACCTTTGGGATTTGTCATCAGACAGAAGCACTGGGACTTTGATAATGCACTCTGACTCTCTGGGCCTCAGTTCCCATATCTGTCAAGTGAAATTAAGTATATATTCTGAAAAGTGTTTGGAGAGGACCACAATGAACTAGATAAAAGAAACAGTGAGAAGTCTTTCCAAGGGAGTGGAGATTCGGTGCTCCCTATATTCCCATAAAGAATGACGGGAAACACTGTTGGGAGATGGGTATGTTTTCTTTTCAAACATTCCATTATAGTCCATTATAATCCATAATTTCTGCCAAAAAGCATGTGCCTCCAAGCAGTGTTCCCCCTCTTGTGAACAAGAGGTTCCAAGGCAGGCACTTGGACAGGCATGAGCAGAGAGCAAGGACGATGGGCCAGGTACAGAAGGTCACAGGGCGGAAAGCCCCAGGTGCCTAGCAACAGGCAAAACTGGGAAAACAAGGACCTTGCTCCCAGGGTAACCTTTCCTCCCCTGGCATATTGCTGGTCTTGCAGTTTAGACCCCCTGACCTTTCATAATGCTGGTCACATGGTTCAGACTCTCTCCTGACCTTTCCTCCCCTCACCTGTCACTAGTCACACAGTAGAGCCTCCTGGCGGAGGAACAAGATGCTGAAGAGTGGCCTCATGAGACTCGCATGTGGCCGGCTGGCATGACCACTCCCTTAAGCATTAACCCCTAGGGGTAACATCTAGGCCTTAGTTGTGTTCCAGCTTCAGGCCCAGAAAAGCAGCAAAATCAGACAAGAAATGCCATGGCTGACATCAGGACCAGCTGCACTAATGACTCCCTGTCCTGATGCTGACCAATCAGTAGACACAATGACTGTGAAAGATCACACCTGGAAAGCTGATGAATATTCTATTGAGATCCTCCCCTGGGACCTCCCCTAAAATCCTGGTTCCTAAAAGCCCTTAGGCTGGAAGACGCAGCTTGGCTGTTTCTCTGGAGCATGCCCAAGCTTTTCCTCAGTCTCTTCCCCCAGGCATGTTTTCCTTGCCCTTCTCTTTTTCCCAAGCTCCAAGGGCCCTCCTTTTGCCCCTGGAACTTTTTTCCTGAGCCAATTTCTCCTACATCTCACTTCTGCCTCCGTGACTTTCTAAATAAACTTTTATAGTTTGAGTCTTGGCTCCGAATTCTTTCTTAGCTAGAACTCAAGTACTGAAGTTGCTGAACCGAAGTCCAGTCTGACTCCACCTGTCTAAAACCTGGTGTGGTTTTTGCAGCCAACGGTTCTGACCCCACTAAGAGCACATAAACTTGGCTACATGTTGAGATCACCTGGGGAGCTTTCCACATGCAGGTGCCAGGCTCCACACCCAGAGACACTGGCTGGGGCTCTGGCTGAGGCATTGCAAATGTTAAGAGTTCCCCCATGTGATTCTATTTTATTTTATTTTTTAAATGAAGTTTTAGTTTTGTTTTCTTAAATTGATCTTCGGGAGAGAGACACACACACTGCTTTGTCATTCCCCTTATTTACCCATTAATTGGGTAGGTGTTCTGACCAGGGATTGAACCCACAACCTTGGTGTATTGGGATGACACTCTAACCAACTGAGCTACTTGGCCAAGGGCCCGCATGTGATTTTAGTGTGCAACTCAAGCTGAGAACCACTGTCCCAACTTGGGTTCCACATTGGGTTGCAGAGCTTTAAATTCTTCATTTTTGGTCTAAAGATTAAAAACAAACAAACAAACGAAATGCAGTGGCATCCTGCAGCTCTCAAACTTTAATGTGCAAATAAACACGTCACCTGGAGATATTATAAAATGCATCCTTCAGTTCAGGAGGTAAAGGGCAGGCCTGGACTTCTGCCCTTGTAAGAAGCTCCCAGGGGTTGTCCACGCTGCTGTCCCAGGCTGCACTTGGGCAGCCAGGCTGTAGCTTGAATACAGACTTGCATGAGAAGTAATGCTCTTCTCGCCAGCCAGGCCCTTAAGGAAGAAGTCACTTCTATGAGCCTCAGTTTTCTGCTCAATATAAAATGTAGGCAAGCAATAGTAACCACTTTACAGAATTCTTGTGATGATTAAATGAAATAATGCACCAAACGTTTAGCACAATAGAACAAATCTTAGCTTTTTAATTGTTAGAATAGTCAACACTCACGAAATGCTTACTACCTGCCAGGAATATCCAAAGTGCTTTTGTGTCTTAAGTCATTCAAGCCCCAAAACATCACTGTGAGGTGGGCACTATTATTTCATCATCCCTATTTTACAGGTAAAGAAACGGAGGCGCAGAGAGGTGGAGTACCGTAATTTACGTTACACACCTTGGAGTAGCAAAGCTGGTGTTTGAACCCAGGGAGAATGTGAGCTCTTAACTCTCCCCAAGGCTGAAATGGATCAGTGGGAAGAGGCACTTTTGCCCTGCAGGACTGACCTTCTGGTGGTCCTGAGTTTAGGGTTTACTCTCAGGAATGGGCTGGGACCAGCAGGTGGCAGCTCCGGGCTATTTCGGTGCAGTGCGCTTCAACACGCAACCGCCTCTAACTCTTAAGCATCTCCCGTTGCCGTCTCCCCTCCACCTTCGGGTCCTCACCTAGGAAGCAGCCCCCGGGATCCTTCAAAACATAATTGTCCTACCTAGCAGGCTCCAAATGGGAGTTCCCCTGGACAAGACTATGTGCGCACCGAAAACAACCGACAAAGTGAGTCTTCTGCAATTCCCCTTTACCCCAGGAGCGCAACCAGACTGTGAAATCTACAAAGCTCTATACCAGGGTTCAGGAAGGGTTCGGGAGCCCAGCCAAGTGGGAAAAAGTTGGGAACTCCTCTTGGATGCCCCTGACTATTCTGGAGGCGCCGGGCACCGGCGCACGCGCGCGGAAGATGTGGACCGGCGCGAGGAAACTATTTGGAGGGTTACCTCGAAAAGGAGGAGGGGATTTTCTCGCGTGGTCCTCTGGGCGGGGGAATGGATTTGAGGGGCACCTCAGGGGGTGGGGGTTAACCAGGCGGTTTCCATGGAGCCCGGGGCGTGGAGGAGGAATGCATCCCTCAAACTGTGGCGAAACAACTGGACTGTCAGGCCAGCCGGGCCGGAGAAGGTTGGAGGGTGGGGGGGGTGGAGAGAAGCGAGGCGGGACGGGGGCGGGGCGGTCACGTGCGCCCTAGGGGCGAGGCCGCGAGCCGGCCCGGGAGCGAACTGAGTCCGGGAGTCTGGCGAAGTGTCTGCGCTAGGAGCTAACTCTTTTCCTGGACCTGAGGCTGAACGGAGTCAGAGCGTCTTAGGCGGACTCAAGGCGCCGGCGGCCGGGCCAGGTTGAGGCGCCTGCGGCCGGCCTGTGGGACAGCGGTCGGGGACAGCGGGCCCCACGGAAAAGCGGGGCAGAAGCTGGGAGGTGAGCGTTGGGAGGCCCACTCGTGGCTTTCACGCAGGATTGGGTCTCCATTTCTTCTGGGGCACACCGGAGCAACTGTTCGATCAGCGTTAGGGGACCAGCCGAGGCTACTGTGCCTTAGGACTGCCGGCGTTCTCAGCACCTGTCCAGCGCTCTGGAAGAGGCCGCGGTCATGGTGAATGAAGACCCCAACCTGGAGGAGCAGGACGGCACCCCTCAGCAGCAGTCAGCGTTCCGGGCGGACCCCAACATTTCTGCCCACCCCAGCGTCTCGGCCCATCCCAGCATCTCTACCAACCCCAGCGTCTCGGCCCATCCCAGCGTCTCCGCCCATCCCAGCGTCTCCTTCCACCCCAGCTGCTCTGCGAACCCCAGCTTCTCTGTGAACCCCAGCAGTTCAGCCCTCCCCGGTACCTTAGCCCAACCCAGTGTCTTGGCCCAACCCAGTAGCTCGGGCCCCGAGGATCTCAGTGTGATTAAGGTGAGCAAGCGCCGTTGGGTGGTGGTCCTGGTGTTTAGCTGTTATTCCATGTGCAACGCCTTCCAGTGGATCCAGTATGGCTCCATCAATAACATCTTCATGAAGTTTTATGACGTCAGTGCCTTTGCCATCGACTGGCTGTCCATGTGCTACATGCTGACCTACATCCCTTTACTACTGCCGGTGGCCTGGCTGCTGGAAAAATTCGGCCTGCGCACCATCGCCCTCACCGGCTCCGCTCTCAACTGCCTGGGGGCCTGGGTGAAGTTGGGCAGCCTGCAGCCACATCTCTTCCCAGTCACTGTGCTGGGCCAGGTCATCTGCTCCGTGGCCCAGGTCTTCATCCTGGGCATGCCCTCCCGCATCGCTTCTGTCTGGTTCGGGGCTAATGAAGTTTCCACGGCCTGCTCCATAGCTGTCTTTGGCAATCAGGTGGGTAGAAGAGTTTGTGGGTGTTCAGAGGAATGGGCATCATATCATCGTGGGACTGTTTAATTTTATCTAACTGCACTTAACTGTGTTAACTTTCTGACTTCAACTGTGTTTGTGACTCTGGGTGACTTTGTGGCTGGTGTGAGGGAGTGATTATGACTGGGTGACTGTGTAAGAGAAGCACTGAGGGAACAAAAGGAGGGGATTTTTCCCCCCACTCACAATTTCTCCTCCCTCAGCAGAAAGCATGCTTTGGAAACATATGATGTTTTGATGATTTTGTTACTGAACCTGTCAGTCCACCAGCTTACACCTTTGACTTCAGGAAAACTATCCTTTCTCAGGGAGCAGCTCCAGGACACCAGGCTATTCTGGTACCAAGAGAACTTAGCAGGTATTTTTGGCCTGACTGACCAGCTTTCCTAGAGTGCAGTGTCTTCTGTACCACATAGAATTGCAGAGCGGCACCTTGCTCATATTTGGGTACTGTTCTTCCCTTTAATATGCAGCTAAAGCCAGGACAGTAGGGACAATGCTTTCTGCCAAACTCCTTCCCTCTGGTTTAGAGCCAAGTTTGGCAGGATAGAGTAGAAATCTCATGCTGAATTCTCAAAGACTAGAAACCTTGGAAAGCCCTGGGAAGCACATCTCTTAATCTCTTTTCTTTCCTTCCTTTTGGAAGGAGCATCTCAAATTCTTTGTATCTCACTGTGGTTATGACCCGGAAAGTTGGGTGTGTTATGAATCTGATTGTCTTCTCCAAATATTTGAAGCAAATTACATATGGGGCTCTTCTTCCTCTAGACCACTGCCTCCTAGTTTCAGTGCCTCCTCAAGCACACTGACTGACTTGTGGCTCTGTGTTTAAAAATGACCAGTAACCCTTAGTTCACATAGGCCTGTTTCTCTTACCTGTTCATCGTGTTTAGAAAATTTAACCTTTCATTTAGAAACTTGTCATTTGGGTCAGAAATTTCCAAAACTTCTCTAAAGGCAAAATTTCACTTTGTTCATCTTCACCACCAGAAGTTGACTCGAACTAGGTTTCCCCAAGCCACTCAGTCCTGCCACTTGGGTAATAGCGTAAGCAACCAATGAAAACATACAGAAAGGCCTTCCTTAGCACACAAACTTTACCCCCCCCCCGCCCCGCCCCGCCTGTGGGTTTTAATGTTCTGAAAATGGAATTGATAGGTAGTTTAGGGGTGAAACAAGATCAGTCTTGTTCAGGGCAGCTGAAAAATAGGTGGTGAGGGTGACATTTACCCTGTCCTCCTAAAGCCTTAGAGTCTAAGGTGATGTGACTGGGAATTTTAACACCCCCGTTGCAGCCCTGCTGGTGGGCTTGGCTTTGTTGGATTTTTCTTTATAGGAGGGTAAGGCAGGGCAGTAGGGGAGAAGGGGAGGACCTTTTAAATTTCCGGAGAAATAAATCTCCCTTTTTGCAGTAGGTACAGAATAAGTAGGATACAGAAAAAGTCACTGTTTGGGGAGGACAGAACTAATGAGAGATACCCTCAGGTGGCCTGGCAAGATCACAGAATCCAAGGCTGGTTTTGTTAACCATTAAGGGTAAACTAATAGGCTTTCTTATCATTCCTCACACACCAGTGAGGGAACCTAACACCAGATGTAGCTTTACAATTTAATAAGAATAGTTATTCATTCATCACCCCTCCACACCACCAAGTCCAGGAAATGCTAAGAAATGTAAATTTGAAAACACTTTGACAGCATATATTTGTATCATAGAGCCACCTATTTAGTTCAATCTTTTAGGTTCAACCACCAGGCTAAGTTTAAAAAAAAAACACACATGGTAAAAACGGAATTGTGTATGGTCCTCATGTAGAGATAAATATTTGGTTTTCAGCATGTTTTTAAAAAAATTTATTTATTGATTTTTAGAGAGAGAGAAAAGAAAAAGGGAAACATTAATTTGTTGTTCTATTTATTTAATGCATTTATTGGTTGATTCTTGTATGTGCCCTGACTGGGGATCGAACCCTGCAAACTTGGTGTATGGGGACTTGGCCAGGGCCTCTGAATGTGTTTTAACCTTTCTTCCTGAGTAAAGCATGGCTGAGTGGGGGAGAATTACGTATGAATAAAGCACCTTGAGCTTCACTCCTTAGAAAAAAGGCTCCACAAAGCCGTTATACAGATTTTAAATGTCATTCGGCTGAATAATTCTTCATGGGCTGCAAACTTCACACAGATCAGCAAAACCCCTGGTAATTTTGACCTTTCTCTTTTAGTGCTTCTTATATGCTCCACACATGCACCAGACCCTGCTTGCATTCAATCCAACATTCATTCATTCATTCAACAAGCTTTTACTTATGCGGGGGAAGAAGAAAATTTCTTCTACTCTTCTAGGTTCTTTCAGCTGTTCTAATTATTAAGTCAACATGAGACAGATTAACAAGAGAAAGTAACCAAATTTAATTGCATGTGTACATATGGGAACAGCACATACATGAAAGAGTCAGAGACCCCACCTACCTGAGAGGTTCAGAGATAGAAAGCTAAAATGAGGTTTGTATGACATCCTTAGGGCTAAGGTAAGATGCTTTGAGGCTTCAGAGGGAAAGGTCATTCACAAGATAGTAAGAAGAGTAGATACTCAGTAATTAGAAGTTTGTCCTGCTCCATAGATTAGTCATCAAGGTCATTTCTGGTAATAACTCTTATGGATAAGGCCCCCAATTTAAACTCTCCTAGGCAGTTGGGGGAGGGGCAGAAGTTTCTCCTGAATCTGCAGGGTCTCAATTGCCTTCGGCTCAAAATAATCCATATGCCAAAGTAGCATATCTTGGGGAGGCCCGTTCTGAACCCCTTTATCTAGGCCCTACCTTTTTTCCCAGATGCTATGCTAGGGCTGCAAAGATAATCCCTGCCTTTGCAGAGTTCTCGCACCACATATTTAAATTGCACCAGGCACCAAGATTCAGGTTAAAAAAAAGGAAAAGCAAAACTGGTCAGAGTATAGATGATTTATTTTCAGTTATCCACAGGTTTTTAGTGTCATCTTTGCCTAATTGCCATGGCAAAATTAAAGGGGAAGGGAGCTAAATATCTATCAAATACCTACTCTGTGCAAGGCACTGTTTCATCATTATTTAATTTTTTAATGCTATGGGGTAGTTGGAATTGTCTCCATTGTTACAGGGAAGAAATTGAGACATAAATGAAGCAACCTTATTTGGGATCCTACAGCGACTGAGTGGCAGAAGGGAGATTTGAACCCAGTTCTACCTCATGAGTACTTGGTGATAATTGGCCCCTATCAAGTCTTCACGTGGATAAAAGATATATATTTTTAAAAAGTGGAGCAAGGATTCTGAGGTTCAGATTTTGTTCCTTTGTGTCTCGAGGGTTGTGGTGCTGAAAAAGTGTCCAGCAGTTTCTTCTAGAATTTGAGATCCTGGCTCCTGTCTTCTGAAGTTCCCAGCGTTAGAATTGTGCTCCCCTCCTCTCCGCTCCCCTCCTCTCCGCTCCCCTCCTCCGCTCCCCTCCGCTCCCCTCCGCTCCCCTTCCCCTTCTCTTTCCCTCTTCCCCTCCCCTCCCCTCTCAGGCTGCATTGCAAACTGCTAAAGGGCTAGTGCTTCTGCTCTGAATTTAGCGGAGAGAGGCACACTTCTCAAGGCTCTGGGAAGAAGAAACCCTAAATCCGGAGGTGAGGTGAGAGAGGAAGAAGAGGAGGCTCACAGATTGCAGCTGAGGCTCTTGGTTCAGTCTGAGCAGTTGAACAGGTGGTAATAGACTGGCTTTTGGCTTTTTTTTTTTTGCAACACTTGTTCCATTGTTTCAAGGGAAAATTATCTGGGTAGGGTTTTGAGTGATGTGGACACATTGTTATTGTGCAAGGGTTGAAAGAAAGCCTGTGTTGGAGTCCAATGATAGCTTGGTGGCGGAGGTCAAGGGAGATGTGGGAGCTGAAAGAAATCTTCAGGTCAGCTCCAGCCCCGAGAGGAGCGTACTGTGCCCAGAAGGGAAGGGACTTCCTCAAGGACTCTTGGGTTGCTCAGAGCACAGTGCCACCTGATAATAGAGTAGGAGAGAATCAGTTTGCTTTCCAGGTAATAAAAATACAGTTACATTACAAAGTCAGCTCTGTGGAGGCCATGGCTGGCTGCGCTGTGGAAAATAGCACTGCTCCGTAGAAGTACAGTGCAAGCCACCAATGCAAGGCACACGTATAACTAAAGCTTCTAGTAGTCATATTAAAAATATATAAAGTATAAACTTAAAAAATTAAAAAGAGCAGGTGAAATTAGCTTTAGTACTATATTTAACCCAATATATCCAAAGCATTATTTCAATACATAATCAATATAATAAGGTTACTAACAAGCTATTTTACATTCTTTTTTCATACTAGGTCTTTAGAAATTGGCATTTTTTAAATACTTACAACTAACCACCGTTCCCAGCAGGTGATGGGATGTGTGCAGTAGCCATAGCCAGGTTGGACTGCATACATCTGGAATACTGCTGCTATTGGTAGAGGAGAAAAAGTTTCCTTGATCCTCATAGGGTCCCTGGCTAGGTCTAAAAATTAAACTGACAAAGACCTATTCACAGAAAACCATCCAAATTTATTCAATGTAAGTGTTACGTGACACTGGAAGCTTCATAAGAAAATGAAGAAACAGGTCGCCGGTTTGATTCCCAGTCAGGCACGAGCCCAGGTTGCAGCCCCGGTCCCCAGCTGGAGGGCGTGTGAGAGCCAACTGATCGATATTTCTCTGGCACATTGATGTTTCCTTCCCTCCCTTTCCTGCTCTCTAAAAATAAATAAATAAAACCTTAAAAGTAAAGGAACCCCCCCCCCCCAAAGAAACAGCCCTGTGCATTTTGATACCAGGTTTGGTGAAGAGTGGACAGTCAGCGGGGACTGTGACAGTTTAGGAGTGTGAGGGAATTATAGTAACTAGGGGACACTGAGCAAGGCCCGTGTGCACTGATTCTGTGGGGTTCCTTTGTCCTCAGAGAAA